TTCACATAAACAGTGCAAATGTCCACTCTGATGGCAACTGCTCTGATGCAAAATTCTTCAACAATAGAACCACAAGTGCCAGCAATCCTCGTCCTGATGATAGTGCGCCAACATCAAATCAATCTGCTTACTGGAAGTTTTTTTTACCTAAGAGCTTAAGATGTCAAAAGCGCTCACACTTGGGACAAGCTCAACAATCCCCAGTCACATATGAATAGCCAGCTCCTCGGCTTCACAGTCAGATACCTGTACATGTTAGATGGTGCTAGCTCATGCCCAATCATAGTGCATGCTGTGGTTCACCATAAAGAATCAAAAAAGCATGGAGGAACCATAGTGCATTATCCCAATAAAATAAATATTTTTTTTAAAATAGGTTGTACTCAGAAACCAATCAACAGCTTAAAATCCACTCAGCATGCCTCCTGGACTAGTGCACATGCACAATGACATCAGTACCAAAACCCCACACATACATGTTTCGTTCATGTAGACGTCATCAATCCTGTATTACCCTGAAGGAAAAGAGCACCCCTGACATGTTGCTGGACTTCATAGCCAAAATAGCCCATTTAAAACTTCATTGTAATGAGCAGCTGAACTTGTTTGCTTTGTCTTTTAGTAAATGCAGAATGTGTTAATCTGCTGAATCTTAACTCTTTTTTTTCCCTCTAAACAAGACAATGGGAATGTGAACAAAAGCCAGTTAGAAGGCATAAGTAACTAAAATTTATCTCAAACACAAGTCATGCTACAGGAAAGGTAAAGGATTTCTATTACGTCTTTATATATGCATCACAGCAGCATATTAACATATATATATACATCCATGACAACTAATCTTTATTTTAACATTTGAGCATAGATTTTAATTCCACTCCATAGCAGTTTTTTTTTACTAGAACCTTGTTCTAGAACTACAATGCACTATAAATCCAAACAGCATTGACAGAAGTATTATATTAATGTTAACATACATAATACTGCTTCATTGTAACAATCCTGTTCTGACAATAAAATTACAGGCCAGCCAGAGTGTTGTGTCATTGCAAAGTCACACCCACAATAGTTCTTGCTTTCTCTGTTTCTTTGACTCTTACTTCACTTTCAAGCACAGTTCCTCTGGCTGATTATCTTTTTTTTTTTTTTTTTTACCTCTTTTGTTACCACTTTGGAGAGGGATTAGAACACCTTACAGGTTTTATTTTTGCAGTCTTTGCTCCCACTAGGAACATTCACCCTCTCTGTTTTGTTTAACGTTATCACCAAGTGAAAGAAAATATAAAATTCTGAGTTGTCACTAGAACAGGAATGGAAGGTAAATCTTCCAATGGGGACACTAGTTTTGGTTACTCTGGTGGCAACTAGAGTTTCCATCAGTTTGGAGAGATGGTCTCTCTCTTCTTGTTTAAGCTGTGGGACTGGAAGTAAAGGCAAATCCCCCTAGAGGGACATAGATGACAAAAAAAAAAAAAACAAAACCTGAAAGTAGATATAGTCCTCCCTTACTCTATACAGTAAAGTAAATAGCGTATTTCTACTTTACTTCACTTATTCCTGTAATACCCTGTTCTTCTGGTCATATCAGGCTTTTTCTCCTCTACAAAGCAATTCTTCCAGCTTCCTTTCTCTCTTTTACTGCCTGTTTGAGAAGCTGTTAGTAGCTTCAGCTCAGGAGTGCCTCCGTACTCTGAAACTGTCAAAAAACAGCTCTTCAGTAGGATCTGGTGTTCCTGAAATCTAGTCACTGTAAAGATAAAAATTGTGAGCACCTGAGCACAGCAATGTATGTACATTTTAGCACCAGTATTTTCTAATAAAGCAGTGTTGGAATACAATGTTCATGTATTTTTGTGCAACAACTACATCAGTATTCAGTAGAGATATATTCTTCAACCAATAGATAGCAGTGTTTATACATTTGTAGCTGCATTTATGGTTAAACTCTATGTCTTTTCTCTATAGAGTTTCCTGTTTCCTTGTTGCAGTGAAGCAGAAAAATACTTGTGGACTGTGCACTGTCTGTTATGACAGCTAACCTCAGTAATAACCTGTATTTGATTTGAAAGCTATACCAAACCAAGCTGATGAAAGGCTGGGACATGCAGGATTACATAAGGCATACCCTGAAAATGGCTGAACGCCTGAGAGTTATAGTAGAAGAAATATAAGATTTTCATGTCGCAGCACTATTACTTAGTGGTTTACCAGAAAGTTATGAAACATTGATCACAGCACTTGATGCATGTCCAGATGATGAACTGACATTTGAATATGTTAAGGACAAGCTTGTGGATGAATTTAAGCATAAACCAGAAAGCATTAATAGTGACAGTGCTTTTACTGCAGAATCTACTTTAACCACTTGCCCTCCTGAGGATTTACCCCCCTTCATGACCAGGCCATTTTTTGCGTTAGGGCGCTGCGTTACTTTAACTGTCAATTGCATGGTTATGCAATGCTGCACCCAAATTAAATTTATGTCCTTTTTTTCACACAAATTGAACTTTGTTTTGGTGGTATTTGATCGCCTGTGCGTTTTTTATTTTTTGCGCTATAAGCAAAAAAAATGACAATTTTGAGAAAAAAACAATATTTTGGACGTTTTGCTATTAAACATATCCAGTAAAAAAATAAAAAAAATCAAATTTCATCATAAATTTAGGCCAAAATGTATTCTGGTAAAAAAAATCCCAATACATGTAAATTAATTGATTTACGTGAAAGTTATAGCGTTTAAAAATGGCGGTATAGATAATGGGATTTTTTTTTCTGTTTTTCAGCTAGTAATGGTGGCAATCAGTGACTTTTAGCAGGACTGCGGCGGACATTCTGACACTGGGGGAGAACTAACTTGGTGTCACTGACACCCCAGTGTAATAAAAAGCACTGACACTGTACTAATGACACTGGGCAGGAAGGGGTTAATGTGAGGGCAATCAAAGGGTTAACTGGGTGCTGGGAGTGTTTTACTAGGGGCTGAGGGTGTGTTCTTCACTGTAAGCACACTGATCAGGATGGCTGTACTGTGCACAGTCATCCTGAGTAGTGTGCTCAAGCTGACAGGAAGGAAGATTGTTTGTAAACAAAACAATCTTCTTCCCCGTCGGAGATGCTTGGTAATCACCGGGCGAGGGCAGGTAATTGACATCCGAGGCCTCAAATGGCGCGTGTGCCCCCTACCCGGAAATGCAGAATGACGTATATATACATGATCCTGTGCACAGTATATCTGCTATAGGGTGGTCCTAAAGCGGTTAAAAACAAAAAAATAGGAATAAAAACAGTAACATGCAACAAGAAACGTGAATGTTTTGTGAGCAAAATAACAAGGTAATTTAAAAGCATAACAAGACAATGTAGTGACATTCTAAGATTTTCCAAGACATTATGTCATCACAAAAGGGGAAAACTTACTTGCAAAGACTAAAATTACAGATGAACTGTATCAGCTGAACTGCAATAAGGTGGTTAACACCACCAAGGAGGAAAACATTCAAATTGTATTTGCACATGGCAAAGACGCTTGGGCCCAAATTCCTGGCATAATAAAGAAATTAACTAAGAATGACTATGCAAGCAAAATAAAAATCAGTCAATGTGATCAAACAATGAAATGCACCAGCTGTATAAAAGGAAAAATAACACAGAACAGCAGAGCTAAAAAACCTCTGGACTTAATTCATTCAGATCGTTGGGGTCCAATGGAAAAATTGACTCCAGGAAAGAAGAGGTATTTCCTCTTTCAGAGAAACTTCCAGAGAAACTTGAACAGTATTTGGATCAAGTAAGCAACAAAATTTGCAAAGTGTATTGCACACCGACAATGGAACTGAATAAGCAGGTGATTCTCAGAATGCATGGCATAATATTTCAAACTGTACGATACAACCCAGAACAAAAGGGGGTTGCAGAAAGATTGAATTGTACTCTATGTGAGAGTGGAAGAGCCATGCTGCTTGATGCAGATATGCCAACCACATACTGGGGGGAGGCAATTATGACCACATGCTATCTCCAAAATCAACTACCAGGAAAATCAACTGAGAAAACGCCATATGAACTGTGGAATGGAAAAACCCATCTAAAATGTTTTAAAAACAAAGCCTATGTACACATGCCAAAAGAAAACCGTACAAAATGGGATGCTTATGCAAAGGAAGGTGTATTTGTGAGGTACAGTGAATTTCAAAAGGGATACATCCAAGGCCGCGAATGGCCAAAAGGGTTACAGAATTCTACACCAAGACACAAATAAGGTAACCATCAGTAGAAGTGTAATTGTCGATGAATCTTCACTGTGTTCAAAATTTCATGAACTAACACAAATGCTTCAAACTGAGGGAAATTCCACATCAGTGTCACATGAAGACAAGCAACAAAGTGACCCAAAAATAGAAATTAATGCACGCAATCCAAATACTGGAACACACGAATGGTAAGGGCGTCATCAGTGGGCGTTGGGTTCTTTATTTATTTTGGCGAGTTAGCGTCATCGTGACAATGCTGCACGCTGTTATTGATGATGGATTACAATGATGGAACCATTTTATTGGCTTTTTTTTCTAAATAAGAGACTTGTCAAAAACTGTTTAGTTTTTTGTTCAAAAATGTTTTTTTTCAAAAGTCTGGCGAGTTTATTTTTTCACAATTTAACCCTTTAGTGAATGGGTATCCCCTTACTCATTTATAGGTACCCCTTATTCATTCACAAGGGGAGCAGCCCTTTTATTTAAAGGCCTAAAGGACCTGGTATGGCTTTTAGAGGAAACCCCAAGCACTTTGTTTATTCATTTCTTACTGTGGTGTCCCTCCTAACCTTCCTACCAGACCTAAAGGGTCTGGTGTGCATTAGGGGGGGAAATCCACACTGATTTTTTTTGTTTGTTTTTTATTTTATAAAAATGTCATTTACTGGTGGCACTGCTGGGCACTGACTGGCACAACTGCTGAGCACTGACTGGTGCAACTGCTGGGCACTGACTGGTGGCACTACTGGGCTGCACTAATGGGCACAGGTGGGTGGCACTGCTGGTCACTGCTGGGCACAGGTGGGTGGCACTGCTGGGCACAGGTGGGTGGCACAGGTGGGTGGCACTGCTGGGCACAGGTGGGCGGCACTGATGGGCACAGGTGGGCAGCACTGATGGGCACAGGTGGGCAGGACTGGTGGGTGGCATTGCTGGGCACTGATCATCAGGGCACTGATCATCAGTGCCCTGATGATCGGTGCCAATCCCTGCTCTGACAACTGCCGATTTTTGGCAGTACTTTCCTCATGCTCTGACAGCACGAGGAAAGTGCAGCCAAGAACTGGCAATTGCATTTCCCTGTGATCAGCGTGTCATTTGACACGGCTGATCACATGGTAAAAGGGTGCTGTGATTGGCCTTTTACCACATCACGTGATCAGCTGTGTTCGTAGGATAGAGCGATCACAGAGATCGCCGGGTGTGCACCCTCGGGGGGCGCGCAGGAGAGCACGTTCTGGGAGGATGTTATATGACGTTATAGAACGTTATATGTCATTCGGCTATCTGCGGTCGGCAACTAGTTAAAGGAATTTTTGTTCTTTTGTTTTTTACTTTAAGCAATGAAAAATGACTGCCCCCTTTTGAATTTTTTTTTTTCACTGATTCATATCCCTCAGGGCAATACCCGAGTTCCAATACCCCATTTATGGCCAATAACTTGCATATAAGCCTTCAAAATGGGCACTTTTGAATTTACAAGTTCGAGTCCCATAAACTTGCATTAAGTTCGTGGTCGAACATTCAATAGGTTCGAATGTTCGACCGCGAACCGAACAGGGAGGTGGTGTTCTGCCCATCACTAATTACTATGCATAAAAATCTTAAAAGGAGAAGTTGTGTTCCCTGTTCCCTTTAAAGCTCTGCCTCGGTTATCCCCGTCCACATGCAATGATCTGAAGACCCTAGTTTGTGAATTTACCAGTCAAGCTATACAGCTAACTGACGTACCTCGCTCCCACTTGGTATGAATTCGCAAGAATCAGATTTTAATATAGCACACTGACTTAACACATAAATATGGGAAACACATTCTAGGATACCACTTGTATGTCTGACAGCTCTGTAGTATGATTACAACGTAATCCCATTGAGTAGATTATTCACGGTTTTTACAATTTACTCAAACTGTTACTTTAACTTCCTGCTTAAAAATAGGAAGTCGTTTTTACATATGAAGCACTTAGACTAAACGAGATTAAACAAAAATGAAACATCATTTGCTGTGTTTGTCATGAAAAGTTTATAGGATTTAATATTTCAGTTAAAAGTGAACATTACTGTGGTGTCTAGCAGTGTGAGGACTCCATCGTACTTCAATAAACTCACTGTGATGAATTCTGAAAGTACTGTTAAGAATAGACCTGTATGTGAGAATCAACACTGAATAAAACACAAGAGCTGTGCACATATCTCATCGCACACGGAACCCACTGGGCCCTAAAATTTCACTTTTATTGAAGCCAAATTAAAAATGTATACAAACAATTGGCGAAAAAATAAAGTCCTACAGGTGTATGCTGGGAAAAATGAGACAAACCCACACTGTAAAATGCTTTCTAAAGATGCAACGACCTCTATGTATCTGCCTTTACTCATCTTTTACTTCCAAATTATGGATTTAATTTCTCTCTCCCTCAAAAAAAAAAAAAAAAAACATTCTGAATTCAAATACAAGCACATACCAAATAAAAGCACTAAAATATGAAACCCCAGACCCCAAAACTCAACAATTTTTGCCTTAAAACGGTATTAAACCCAAACCCAAAATTGTATTATATTGTAGCTTGCCAACCATTAGATCTGGTGGCTGAATTAGTTTTCTTTTCTTTGGCTTTTTCCCTCTGTTTTTACCTGGTGATCTGGCCAGTAACTTTTGTATTAGTGAGCCACTACTCTGGAGGGATGAGCACAGAGCACAGTAGACACAGCATTGTCAGTGTGGGAGTGTTAAATGTTTTAACAGATTTGAATACAAGAACAAATAGAAGCCAAACTCTAGCTAAAACGTTATAGTCAGTTACAGCTGTTTTTTTTTTCTTTTGGGATAAAGGTTTTGCATTAATAAATAAAAGCTAACCATTTTAATCACCCCTGCAAGTGTTGAATGATCTCATCCCTGTAAACTGATGCATTCTGCTGGAGAGTTTGAGCTTCTGAAACATATTATTATTATTATTATTATTATTACTACGAGTTTATATAGCGCCAAAGGGTTTGCTCAGCGCTGTACAATAGGGGGGGACAATACATGGCACAGTACAACAAAGACAGACAGCGTACGAGGGGTAAGAGGGCCCTACTCATACGAGCTTACAATCTAGTAGACTTGCTGGCTAAATTACCAGATGAAAATAGAAGAAAGAAAGCCTAAAAAAGGAAACTAATACAGCCATCACATCTAAGAATCGATAAGCTGCAATATAATAAATGTTTACTTTTGGCTTTAAAATAAAGGACTTCATCAGGAGTGAATAAGTGTCATAAAATAAATATAATAAAGTGTGCCAATCAAAACATGTGAACAATCAGTGAAGTTTTAGGGCCCAGTGAGTTCTGTGAGCGGTGAGATATGTGTACAGGTCTTTGCAGCTTAGCTACCACGGCCATGAGGTTTTACTTACATTGACAGTCTCACTCCTAATTCTGCAATTTCAATAAAATTAAAAAATTTAAAATGTGTATGTCCTCTTCATCTCCTGGCTCCTGAGTTCTTGCTACATTGTCACTTTGATACACCACTATGCAAGGGTAGGAGGATCAACAAAGCTGTATTATGTCAAGACCTACTACATGTAGAGGGTTAGTATCTAGTGTGGGGTCAGCACCTGGAGTAACTCTTTAGCATGCCAAGAAAGAAATACATCCTAACCTATGGAGATATTTCACATGAACAAACAATTCCTCCAAACCCAAAAACAGCCATAGGGCAATTACTATTTACTTTACATATTGATTACAAATGGTTGTGTTTTACTTGGGGTTCTCCTGGAGGAGCAGCCACACTATGGGTCAGTAAGGAAATCTAGTTTAAAAAACAATAGAACCTTTTAGGCAGCCAAGTGTTTTTACTGATCAAAAAAAAGCTTACAAAATGTAGGTACTCCCCCTCAATATTAAGCCACATTGGTTCTGTAGATCCAGCTACTTGAAGAAGTGATATCACAGAAATGTTCTTGAATGCTCTAAATCAAAAAATGGCTGCTTCTACAGCGCATAAGCAACAAAATCTTAGCTTCACAAACATTTTCCCCCATTTAAGAGGCATTACATCAATCTAGTTCCTAGGCTGAGACTTAACATTCGGTCATATGTTGAAATCAGTATCCGATGACAGCTGTAATTTTCTTTCATTGTGACAAGATAATTTTTTTACATACGCAAACAGGAAAAAGGTACAACTAATAATGTTATGAGAATAGTTCATAGCTTATGTCATACTAATATGTATGTCTACTCATTGGTCTCATGCAGATTACATTGGTTAATCCTGTCTAAATGTTTTGTCTCCTACAGATCTTAGAAAGCGCTGCCAAAGGATATCCTTTGATGATACCTAGAGTAACAATAAAATGGAATTGGCCCTAAGTAACAACACCTCCTCCCCACCACCGGTACTATGTTTCTGTCATTTGTGGATCTACTAATTCTGCAGTATTAGTATCTCTAGTTCCATAATATTGTACTGCAAAAGGCTGACTTTTATTCCTGAAAGGATTAAAATACAGTAACTTGTAACTCTACAATTGCAATTCTTACAAGTATGTGCAGTTTACATTGGCTTGAAAGTGAGAAACACCATGATTTAACTTTGGTTTGAATACAGGATCAAATTGGCCAGTCTGTAGCAATATAGTTAAGGATGCCAGAAGGAAATAATTTCACCACTGAAAATAATGCAAAGTACACCATAACGACCTCACTGTACTTGATCAATTAACAGATGTAGCTAGGTAGAAACACTGGTTCTCTTCAATTTTTTGGAGTTATGTTTGCCATATACTGCAAACCCTACCCTTTGTTACCAGCACTAGTGTTTAGAGGCTTACCACATCTCCAGCAATGGGGTTAGTGTAGAATTATTCTTGAAGAAGAACTCTCATGAAACATATTTTAATTGTATTTATTTCCCAAGGGGACCAAGTGCATATACCACTGAGTCTCATTCTGATTGATTCGTTGTTCCATTGTTCACTAAACGCTCCTCCTAATGCACGCCCCTTGAAGACCAAATGATGGGTGTTTGTGTGGGGTAGGTACATTCAGCACAGAACCCCCATCCCCTCTCTAAGCTGAGGGATCTGTCACTATTATTAATGAACAATGCTGTTTGTTCATTCATAATAGTAAAATATCACTCAGAGCTGCGGTTCTGTGTAAAGTATCTGCCAGTTCCCTGTATGTGTACAAAGAGCCGCAGCTCTGAGTGATCTTTAGGCCTCATGTACACATGAACTCCCCTAGACGTTTAACTTTCCTAGCAGCAGAAAAAAAATGCTAAACATGGTGAAAGGATGTGTAAACACGGTACAGCGTTTAGCTGCGTTTACCCACGTTTAGCTGCGTTTAGTGCTTGGACGTTTATTCATTTGATTGGCCAGAGTAATTTACATTGGAATGAATAAACACCCAAGTGTTAAACACGGCTAGCATTTAAACACGTTCAGGGCTCATGTACACAGGGCATTTGGAAAATTCTTCTGACCACTGGAAACTGACTGCGAGAAAACGTAGGTTAAAAAACGTCAGTTTAGATGCGTTTGCATACCGCGTTTAGCCACTTTTATGCGCGTTTCCATTTAGAAGTGTTTTTAAAAGATAACTTCAGGAGACCTTCCCAAATACCCAGAATGCACTGAAAAATAGTAAATTAACTATTTCAGACATTTTGAGAGTAATAGAGAGAGCAGAAGCAGAGAGAGCAGTATGTGTTGAGATGACCTGTCTTTTCTGGTTGTATTCACTATGGATCCCATCATGAGTATAATGCAGCATGTTCTATCATTTTTTCCTTCACGTGAAACCTGGAACTGACTGCACTGGTGTACTAGGTCCATTTGAATACATGGAAAAAGCTTTTCATGCATTTTTGATGAAGAAAAAAGGCTCTGGACAGCATCTGGATATGGACCAGTCAAAAAACGCGTCTAAACGCAAATGCTTGTTTATACGCGTTTGCAAGCGTTTGGTGTTTGAAACGCCAGTAAAATCTACTCCTGAACACAATTTGTGTGCGTTCAAGAAAACGACTGTGAACTCAACTGCCTGTAAACGACTATGTGTGCATGGCCACATA